GCCCTCTCGATGAGCCCTGCCAGCTTAGTGTGCTAATACTGTTCAGTTTGGAAGGTTAAATTAAACACTAAAAAAAATCAGAAGAGCTTAAGGAAATAGACTTTTATGAATTATTTGCATCTCAGTTTTAAAACTATAAACCTTTTAAAATGTCCAGTTTTTAAATACAAGACATCAGTCACTGCAGTTGGAGGCTAATTTTGGTGGGGGGAATCTCAAATGTTTAGTCATTAATTAGCTTTTAAACAATTTTTTTTTTTTTTTTGCTTGTTACGGTAGGTAAAACTGACTACATTACAATAACTGCAAAATTGAAAGCTGGAAAATAAGACTAACATGCAAATGCTTGGTTAAATACTGTCAATTTAGTTTTGTGGAAAGATAGCTTAATGTTGCCTATTTACCTGGCAGTAATTGTGAGTTATTAAAGTAGTATTTCTAAGCTATGCTTTCTGCTTTTAGAATCATACACTCTTAGGATAACTTCATTTTCAGGAGTCCGTGTTGTATAGTTTGTAATGTATGATAGCACTGTAAAAGATGAAGATTTTGGTTGGAGTAGTTTATTTAAAATAAAATGTATGAAATTTGAACTTCATTTTAGCTTAATAATACAACAGTTAAAACTGTAAAACTTCCAAAGGTGTTCTTGTGAAGCTAGCCACAGAGCTAAAACTTCTAAAAAATACATGGTGTAGGTAAGGAAGACATTTCTCGTCCTGACTGTTCTTTTGTAGACTGATAATTTTCTATAGATCACAGGCGACTTAAAGTGGTTCTTTGCCAAAATAAATGTTTTAGGATATTTGTAGTAAATATATATTTGAAGATATCCACATGAAGATTTTGGAGCTGAAACATGGTTGAAATGCTTTTAGTGATGGGTTGAAATTTGAATTTTGAGATATCATTTGCTGCATTGAGAAAGAATACTTGGAGCACTAAGTGACAAATCCAGTGAAATGATAAAATGATGGTGTAATTTAAAAAATGAAGCATTTTATCACTGATGTGAAAGTTGTCCAAGATATTAGGGACTATTGATTTCTTGATTGTTTTAGTTCATGTAATGGCTTCTATGCTTTCTCCAGTTACTGGTGTGAGGTTGCTTGGAGGCTGAATACACACACAGCTGCAGTATCTTTTCCTTGAATCAAAGCAGCTTGTAGGATTTAACTTCTACTGGGGAGACTAACTGGTTTGAATCCTCAGATCAAGGGAGAGCAAATATAATTTAGAGATGCTTCTGATCACAGCCCTTTCTTGTTATCCGTGTTGTATAGGCTGATTGTAGTTTCTAGGCAACTATATGTAATATTTCTGGAATAAATTTTTTTAAGAGATCTGTATTTTTTTTCACTTATAATTGATGTTTTTCTTTTACTTCCTTGAGATACACATAAATGGGGAGGGGATGATGACACTTTCCAAGTGCATAGATATTCAAATTTTGAGCAATTGCTCTTTTTTCTCCCTCTCCCTCTCTTCTCTGCAGATTCTAGAAATCTACGGTTTATGTTAGTTTGGAGATTACTTCTGCACTTTGGAAAATGCGTAACATTGTTGGTTTGTGGTTGGTGAAGCACTAGAACTTTGTGTTTATACTGTGGCAATGTGTAGAAAAAACACCATCAAGAATCAGCTTATTTCACTAAGTATTAAGCTTTAAACCACCCGCAATTATAATACAAAGATCTTGGTAAAGTGTAGCCATAGGTTAAATCAAATTGGGTGTTCATAAACCCCAGAATGGATGAAAAGGTATAATTGCTTAACAATATGTAGAATTGCCTTTTGGGAAATTATTTAAGAACTATTTTTCACTTTCTTCAATATATTTTCTAGCTTGTATTTCTCTCATTGACCAAGGATCATATTATCTACTTCAGCTATGATCTGAAACTACATCTTTGCTGAATTCTGAAATCATGTTTTATGAATGAGCATTTAAATTTCTTTCACAATAATATGGCAGTAATATAAATAAATAGAGATGCTGTTCGATCATGTTCTTTTTGTTGTTTGTAGACTCCAGAGAAGAAACAGTCAGAACCTTCCAGAGGAAGAAAAAGAAAAGCAGACACTCAGAGTGAAAGCAGCCAAGGTAAACTAAAATGTAAATTAAATAGGTAATTATTACATGTATTTAATCAAATTATAATGCACAAAGTTTTGACTGTTAGCCTTACAAATTCTGTATTTTTCCTTGCATAAGACAGGTGTGGGGTTCTGCATGGTAAATTATGTATCCTTCCCCCCGCTGCTGCATTTGTCACTGGAAGGGATGGGCAAGTAAAACTTTAACTGGGCTAGTAATTGCCCATAAGAATTGTGTGCTACTGTGTGTGTAACTTGCAGCTATGATACAACTCTGTATCCTTCTTAAGAGTTGTAGCAGCTCTTCTCGTGCAAAATACCTTTGTGGTTTGTATTTCTTTTCAGTAGGTAAGGGGGAAAAGGGATTACAGTTTATAGTATCTGATTTCTTGTTTTTCAGGTATATTTAAAAGTTGAATTTTATTCTTCCTTTTCTGTGGATTATTGTACAGTGTAGTTTTCTAGAGGGATGAGGAAGTAGGGATGAGACCAGTTTCCAATTTAATATTTACAAAGGATAGTTTTTGGTTTTTTGTTGTTCCTCTCCCTACTGTGAGTTTTGGGGGAGAAATGGTGTAAATTTAACCTATTAACCTAACATGCTATCGGTAGAAGAATTATGTAGTTTGGCTAAAATTAATTTTTTTGTAAATGTTGCTTCATAGAGACCTGCTTTATTCAAAAAACTTGAATGACATTTCCTGTGTCCGTTGCTCTAGTAGCCTATCCTCCCTGCTACGAGAGTTGAAATTAGAGATGTTAGAAATTTTAGGAGCTTTTTTGGCATAGACAACATGATTATAATGTCTTATAATTACTATTTTACCGTCAGCAGCAGTGAAACTGAATAGTTTCCGCTGTAGTGTTCTCAAGGAACTGGCCTAGGAAACTGCAGCATTTTGGAGTGGTACAGTACAGTTGAAGCACAGCGAATACTGCTGTCATACTGAAAAAAGGAACAAGAGATTAATCTCTTGTGTATTGCATATGTAGGATTTTGGCTTTGTAGTATGCAAAATAATCCATAAATGTTGAAGAAGTTTTTTTAGAATATGGAGATACTTGGCAAGTGGGATAAAATCAGTATAAATCTATTCATAATTGTCTGTACCAAAATAATTTGATGTGTTTCTTTGATGCAGAGTTCTGTAACATGACATAGCATAGATTTTTCTATACTGAAAAGGAATGCAGTCTGTCTCATTTATCTGGATGAAAGGAAATTTTAATTTGATAAAGCGATACATGAGAATTAAGCATAAAGACAGAAATCGCTAGCAGAATTGTAGGGTAGGTAAAGAACTGGCTAGAAGGCAGTAGCAGGGATATGTACATTAACTGGGTAACTGCTGGAGGAGTTAGCTGTGTGCTGCTGTAGGTCTTTGAATTATTTAATGTAAATATTTCTGTTAAAAGTCCTTACACAAAAAGGGCTGCCAAATGTTTCTGTTTCTTCTTGGTATTTCTTAGTGACACAAAGTTATGCAGCAGTGCCAATATAGAGGCATATTGGACTAGAAAGAATTCTTTAGGGTTAAAGTAATAGAAAAGTGTGAAAATCTTTGCTGAAATGTCCAAAATTACATTTTTGGACCTACAGGTAATGATCTTCCAATTTATTGTGAAAAAAATTCTTTCTATAAAGAAAAAAAGCTTTGAACAGTGGTCAGTTTTCAAGATTTCCTAACAGGTAATCTGACTTGTGCAAGAGACAAATACAGTCTTAAGATTTGTCAGTCATTTTAGGGCCGAATAGAAGAAAGCATTCATGCCATTGGGTCAGGTGTTGGTGCAATCTCTGGAATGCCACATATGGGTCAGGTCCTCACACTGAAGATGGATTGATTCACACTAGTACTCCTGAAGTCTCAATACTGATTAAGATAAAATAAATTCTACTGTCTTGTTCTATTTATCTCCCGAGTTAACCCTGTGAGTTAGCTGATTCATAATCAAGTTGGGAGGAATGCAAATACTTGTCATCCTCCATGCCCACACTGTTATTGGTATTAGGGAAATCCTTGGGCTGAACATTTGGGCACAGTGACTCACCTGGAGCATAGGATGTTAATGGACTTCATTAATTTGATATTTTGGAAGTGGGTGAACTTTGGTGCTTGAAAAGGGGAGGGACTTAGAGCTAAAAGTTTGATCTGTAGGATTAGAGATGAGTTTCCTGCTATCTAGAAGTAGTCTAGGCTTAGTGCTAAATCTGAAGTAATATGGTTTAGGAATTGAAGTGTCACGTTACTTCTGATTTCTCAATGAATGGAATATGCAAATCTCTTTGTTGTGGCCAATCCCTTAATTACATAGGGAGACCACATCATTAGTACATCAAAGAAAATGGATTAACAAGTGGTAAGGCTTTGCTATAATTGCTGTATAGGTAAAAATGTAAGATCTATAAGCAATTTATTTAATAAATTCTAATGTATTAATGTGTTTATTTCAGGAAAGAATATTGGGGGACGTGGTCACAAAATTAGTGACTATTTTGAGGTAAGGTTTTTGTGTGTTTGTACAATTTACTTTAGCTTTAAAATTACTTTTGGCTTCTTTTTGATGTTACAGAATTTTTGTTTGTAATGGACAGGCCTCTTGAGAGGATACTTTTTTTTTTCTTTATGTAAGTTTCTGAGTATTAAACCTTGAAGTAGAGATGGAGCCTGAGCTAAAATACAAGAAAGATTTTTCATGCTTTTCTTTAAGTGGCCAAAAACTACACTAATGAAAGTAATACAATCTGATTTACAAATTCCGTGTACAGATGAGCTGTGTCATTTGGTAGATGTATAACATATTTTGATAAGAAGATTGACTAATTGGAGGGCTGTATCTTCTCTACAGTACCAAGGTGGAAACGGCTCTAGTCCAGTGCGAGGTGTACCTCCTGCAATCCGATCTCCTCAGAATTCACATTCCGCTCCTTCTTCTGTAAGTTTGTGAACTTCATAACTACCAGAGATACTCACATAGTCTAAAAGTAGCATAATTGAAAAGACTCTATATTCAAAGGAAGAGTTTTCAAAGGAAGGAATCCCGGGAAGGAGTTAATTCTTTCAACAGGAAACAAAAAAAACAAAAAACAAAACCAAGAAAAACAACAACAACAACAAAAAAACCACACCACCCCAAAAAGTGTAAAACTAAAATTTTCTGTTAACACTGGGACTTTTTTTCTAAAACATAATTTTTAAATACAAAGTAATTATGTCAAATGTAGAATAAATGTTAAAATGTTCTATTTGCATCTATTCCCAAGCCTCACACAAAAAAGGGAAGCATTCCTGTTACTTATGAGGAAACTGAACCCCTAACTCGAGACTTTAAAAGCTCGGTTTTTGATAAATAATAAGTTTTTAAATAATTGACACGTAATTTGCCTGTATCCTTTTAAAATTCTCTTTGTTGGTCATGCTAATTAATTTTTTTTCCTCTTCATATGCACAATTTCAGTGTTAAGTATACCCACATGTGATTCTAAATGGCCAAACGGATTCTGACAGTTACAGAAAGGATTTGTTTTCTCTTCTGGTAGACCTCAGCTTTTATTCCGTGTACTTTCAGCTTCAGTCATCCTCTTATTCTTGCTAACAGTATGAAGTGTAATACAGATTGTGGAATTTGTCTTGAAAACAATCTCATTCACACAAACTAGTGGGTTTTGGGAAGTTCCATAAACAGGATTTGTGTTCTGATCTGCACTGGCTTCCCCTTTCTGGTTCTCCCATGGGACATAACCACTCCAAAAATAACTCTCATTATTTTATTTTTGAGTTGTGAAAGTTTAGAATCAGAAAAATAAGTCTGTGTAAGACTGACATCACCTTACGTCAGTCTTGTATTGTCTTAAATCTTTCAGTCTGTTTCCCAAAGTGACAATCTTGGTTTTCTCAGATAATATATTGCATCCTTTCTAAAATGCAAGTGATATATAATAGCATAGTGGTAGCTCTAAATGCAGTGCTCCAAGTAGTTTATTCTGTAATAAAGTACCTTATTTCTCTATTCTGTATGATATTCCTGCCTTGTAAACAGGGCTATGTTCGTAGTAGAATATTACAGTTTTGTCTAAAATCCTTTGTTTTCATGCATTCCAGGTTCGACAGAATAGTCCTTCTCCTACTTCATTAGCTTTTGGGGACCACCCTATCATGCAACCAAAGCAGTTATCTCTTAAAATTACTCAGGTAACTATTTTTGAGTAGAACTATCCTGTATCACATCAGACTGTAGAAAAAATTGATAGATAGATTTATTTATTTATTTGTCTTTCAACTTCTTCTCAACTCTTACAGGCTTTCAAAATCTTTGCTTTTTACAATCTGCCAAAGCATTTTCCTGTTAAGTTTGGCAGCTCATAATTTAAATTCCTCTGATTGTTTTTATGTTCTCACTTGCTCTGCTTCCAGTGTTGCACTTCATGAGTAGTTAGGTGACCATGTTGTTGGTAGGCTTTTGCTCGAGATTTTAGCTGTTGTGTGATCTTAGAAGTAGAGGCTGCTCTTTCAGACGGTATTTGAAATGACAGCTGCTGTTGTCATATTGAATTTAAAATATGACATTAAAGAAGAAAAATAAGATGGTAATCAGAATGATCAAGATACAGTTTTGTCATGACTTTTTAGAAGCTGAAAGCAACTCTTTTATCCTCTGTGCCATTTCTGACATGATCTCTTCTCTTTCACAAGTTAGTCAGAACAAGGCTACTTCACCTGTTGACCAAATACAGAAAATTTAAAGTAATTAGCTGACATTTACATTATTGCCCTGTTTTATATGTTTTTTGTGAGCAATAACTTTTCAATTAGTGATGAAATCTTTTAACCCTGTTAATGGTTTCTCCCAACTGTTCACAGTCATCCTCATGAAGAGAGAAAGCGGTTTAATTCAAGAAGCTTCTGTGTCACACTGTGAAAACACATGAAAATAAGATGTGCTGGTCTTGTTGAATGTTTTAAAGTAGTTTATTTCTCTACGTAACAGACACGAGAAATATAATGCTGTAATTGTTAAAGGAAAGGATAAATATTTCAAAATGTTCTTTTTAGACTGATCTCACAATGCTGAAATTAGCTGCACTAGAAAGTAATAAAAATCAAGACTTGGAAAAGAAAGAAGGTCGTATAGATGACCTACTCAGGGTAAGTGTTAGACATGGGGTAAAGAAATTTATTCAGAACGACAGTGAATCTGAGGCAAATATTTTAAATGTTTGAATTATCCTTGTTTCTAAAAATTACCCTGGAATTACTGAAATTAAAAGGTGAAACAATTTTTTAATTTTTGTAAATATTTTTTTCTGAAAAATCTGAGTTGTCTATCAAATTAAGTGTATAGGGTTTTTTTTTCTTCTTCTTTGCTGTGGCTTGTTAATGATTAAATAAGTTTATAGACTTTCTGAAGGCACAAAGAAAGCTGATGCTGTTTTTCAGGCAGTTGATTATTTCATTATGTTCATAATATTTCATGTTACAGGTGGGTTTTTGTTGTTCTAATTGTGAATAGCAGTTACCAGTGGGACAACTGTTGGCTGTTTCAGAGTGGAGGTGATTGTGATAGAAATTATTACAGGCAATAACTACCTTTAATAAGAAACCTATGCTACACTGTGCTCTAAGATCTGTTTCAGAAAAAAAAAATCTTAATACTTGTGTTCTTGAAGGAAGAGTTGTAGAGGTAATATATAGAAATATTAAATATGAAGCAGAAGAAACTGTATTCACAAGTTGTAGTCTGGTTAGTGTTTATATGTGGACAAATACATATTAACCCGTGCAATCATACATCATAAAAGTGTACATGTAGACTGTTTTAGAACATGTTCAACAGTATGTGATAGACAAACCTAAACTTTTTTAAAAAAATCATTTAGTTTTAAACAGAATTGTGTTTCTGTGGGTTTTTTTAAGGTAATAAGTTAAATATAATTGGAACATAGGGAATTTGTTAAACTTCCTACTTGGATAATTGAAAGTTTTATCATTATGAATTTTTTGTTTCCTTTTAAATTAAAAACATTAGGATTTCACATGACTTCAGCAATCAGATATAAAGCATCCGGAGCTAAAATTAAACTTTCAGTTTAACCCTGGAGGACTGGAACAGTGATCAGTACAATGTTTTTATATATTATTTATTTGCTGAATTCTCTGTAATACAGAATACAGCTCAGTATAAAGGAAATAAAAAAGGAAGCAAAGCATCCTTCTACAGATCAGGATAGATCTGTGAAATTAAATTTTTGCTTCTATGTATGTTTATGCATATTCCTTACTTTAGTCATGTGAAGTTAGATACCTCTATTTTCTGTGACAGCTGATTTAAAAAATAGTGTTTCGATATACCTTTTCATATTTTGTATATATTTATTAGGCTAACTGTGATCTTAGAAGACAAATAGATGAACAACAAAAGCTACTTGAAAAATACAAAGAAAGGTTAAACAAATGTATTTCAATGAGCAAGAAGCTTCTAATTGAAAAGGTAAGTTTACTGTTTTTAAAATATTTGTGATAGAAACTGTGAGGGTGCTGTAGAACTCCATTATGATTCCTTCATTTTCACTTTTAACTTTTTCACATTAGTCTCTGAGACTGAAACTTCATATGCGTGGTCTCTGTCAGTAAGTGTTTTTATAAGCCTGAATAGGCAAAATAAAATGTTGAGCCTTTTTCAAACTGTGGAAAATGTACTTTTTTTAATTTAAGGGAGGTTTTCCAGTCAGGAGTAGTTCGGATAAAGCAAAGCATAAAATATAAGAATTTTCTGTGTAGCAAATTTTCTGGACAAACTTCAACAATAGATTACAGTGGATGAAAAACTTTCTGTTTTGGAGAGGAGACAGGTAAAATCTCCATGTGAGACACTTAAGTGTCTGAGATAATTTTTGATATAAAATGCTATGTTAGCTTAGAATTAATGGAAACAAGGACATGAAGGTGACCATATTTCTTTCATATTAGTGTGAAGGTGAATTTATTTAAAGTTTAATGCCAGTTTCTCAAAAGACAAGGATACCTTGGTTCTCTCCCTCTTCAAAATAGCCTTATTTAACAAAACAAACAAACAAAAAAACCTAACAAAAAGTGAATAGAAAATCAGCTTATTACAAATTAGGATACAAAAACATTGAAGGTAAACAGCCAACTCTCTTCTGTAACACCAGCCACTAGATGATGCTGTCAGATACAAGGGCACAAACTGATCCATTAGAGTATTAAGGAGAGTTTCTTCACTAATATGCCATGAGTGAATTACTCCAGTCCTTTTTAAGTTCCAGCATGAGGGCAATGCAGGGAAAAGATACATCAGATCTGTTCAGCATGATTTCCCCTTCAGGGAAATATCACATAGGCAGGCCTCCTCTTCAGTCTAGAAGTGTGTGTATGTGTACCCATACCATAAAGAAGGAAGCATTTGTAACAATTAAAGAAGTTTCTATCCATCAGCGGTGTTCACAGGGCTTGCTCTTCTTGTGCTGAAGGAGACTAGGTAGGCTCAGACATTTATCACACCTGAGCATGCTTGTGGCTCTGAGAAAGGCAGCTGCTTCTATTACTGCAAGTGAATATCAGATTGCAGTTTAGTCTACCTGCAGTGGATTCCCAAGTAGAGATTCCTGAGCTCAGTCAGTTTGGTACAAGTCGTAACATAGATGGTCTGTCAAGGGAGTTTCCAAGCAAAGTATGGTAGGTGCACTCTTCCTGATATCGAAGTGGGCTCATTGAGTATAATAGACATGTACAGATACAATCTGAATTATATGCCTGTATGATGCTGATACTCTTTATCAGTTTTGCTGTATTTACAAATAAAATGTTTTGTTAATTATGAAGAACAATGAACTTTATAGGAAAACTTGAGTCAAACTCCAATTTTTTGTTTTGTGCACAAGTCATCATTAGTACCAGTTCTCACAACTGCAGATGTTTGAGTTCTGCAGAAATTAGAATAAATGGAGTAAAATAATAAAAGATATTTTCATCAACTCTCCTTTTATCCCTCCGGTAGAAAGTTGTTGTAGGAAAAAACCCCAACTGTTTACTGACTTACTGAACACTTTAGTATTACTAAATATGATTTTTTTTTTTTCTTAGAGTACACAGGAAAAGCTGGCAAGCAGAGAGAAGAGCATGCAAGACAGATTACGCCTGGGGCATTTTACAACAGTTCGTCATGGTGCTTCATTTACCGAACAGTGGACAGATGGCTTTGCATTTCAAAATCTTGTGAAGTTAGTCAATGCTATGTTCTTAAAATTCTCAGTAATTGTTAGTTCCCTCTAGTGGATTTTTTTATTACTAAGGTTCTGGGATTGGAGCAGATTTTCATATGTTGTATTTTGCTTCACCTTTTGAAGACTGAGAATACAGTACAGAACTCCCTTAATCAGCTGAGAGAATACTAAGGCTACATGTCTTTGAAAGACAGTTTGGGTTCACTTGATTTTAACTATCCTTAGAAAAGCATGAATGTACTAAATGAGCAGCACGTATTTAGTCATCTCAGCTGGTAGAAAGAGCCATAAAACTAAATCAGTGATTTTTCAAGCAGCTAACCATGTGATAATTGGGGCAGATGAAGTCTGTAAAGTTCTCATTGGTCACATAGGTGCTGCCTGCACATCCATCGCTGTGGCAGCTTTTTCAGGCATCCAGCTCCTCAGGGTCATGAAGGAGGAGTAACAAACCTGGCAGCCTCATATAGGGTCTAATGGAAGTTGATCGGGGAGAGCAGCCACCTGGAAAAGACCTGCTGCAACAGGTACTTCGGCAAAGATGGGGCCAAGGAAAAGAGCTCTGGGAGAACATCGGAGATGGTGGTAAAATTATTAATCCACCAAGATTTTAGTTTTTGAAGGGCAATATGTAGAATTATGTGATTGCCTAAGACATAGATTTTTAAGAAAATCTTACAAACAATCTGTGTATGTGCTTTACATAAAAGCTGTAATTGTTTGCCATACAACCAAACTGATTATTTATTTGGGAACGATCAGATCAAATTCAGTATTTGGCCTGTAAAAATCAAGTACTCTCTATTGACTCTTAGATTTCTTTTGATGGTCCAAAATAAGGTATCTACCAGCTCAGATACTTCTTTTTTCTTTTTCTAATGTAGAAATCATGTGTAACACTTTCAAAAACAAAATAATCATAAAACAAACAAAAGATCCCCCACCACATATTTCAAAAGTGAATAGTGCCGTAACTTTACCAAAATTTTTCCACCTCATGAAGAATATTGGTGTTCTTTTTCCTAGGAAATATATTCACATGTAAAGTAAGTTTTCTAAAAATTTCTTAATGCTTTATCAGTTTAAAAGATAGTTCTTTTAAAAATGCTAAATTATGAAACTTTAATAAAGCTTTTTTTGGGGTTTGCAGGCAGCAAGAATGGGTGAATCAACAAAGGGAAGACATTGAAAGGCAAAGAAAACTCCTGGCCAAGCGAAAGCCTCCAACTACAAATAATTCTCAGGCACCATCTGCCAATTCTGAACCCAAGCAGAGGAAAAATAAAGCTGTGAATGGGGCAGAAAACGATCCCTTTGTTAGACCCAATTTACCACAGCTGTAAGTTTAACATTTCAATCAGTCTTTTACATAAATTCTCAGATATTGTCTATGTGAGTTCTATTCAAATAACAGCATAAAAAGACACTCAGTATATTCAGCAGCTATATTCTCACTGAGGACTTGCTGATGGCAGGGAAATTTGCACCACTGCCTATGAAGATGTCATGCAATTGCCCAATTTATTTTTGGTAAAGTCACCAGAGAAAGGCCCATTCTGTGTTTATGCAGTGTTCCTTCTGTTTTCCTGGTCTAGAGGAGTCCTTACTCTTGTAATGTCACTGATACCTATTAAACTTTTCTTGATCCACATTGTTTTAGGAGCCTCTCCTTTAGTTAGCGATCATTTCATTTTTCATCTAACAGTCTTTAGCTGACAAGAATAGCTTTTTTTCAGCCTTTAGTATTTGAAGACATGTCTAAAAAGAAATGGAAAAAACCTTTTTTCCCTTTTGATGCTAGATCCTGATAGCAACTGTCAGAAGTTACTGATCCCATTTCACATAATGACAATGTTGAAATTTTTTGTCACTTAAACATAAAAATTGAGAGCTATCAAAGAATTCTCCATTTTTCAAGTGACATTTTTTCCTGCAGACAGAAATGGTATAACTCAAGGCACAGACCAGATGTGTTCTTGACATTTAATTTGAGTATTTTAAGAAGTTGCTGCTTGGAGATACTAGTTACTGCCCTTGATGCTAAGAGGCTGCAGCTGATAGTGTATCTGCTCCTAGTCAGCTTAAATAAAAAGTAAATAACTAGGGTTAAAAAGACTAACAAATTAATCTGTGTTACTTTTCAGAAGTAGGCTACATGTGTTGAGCATGGTCACCTGTCACCTCTCACTTGTGGAGGTGGTAGTTTATAGCTCCGGGGGTGGGGGGTAAATCAATCACTCTGATTAGATCTGCAAGCTACATGTTTGGACAATCATTTTGAAGACAGCTGCGTCTGTTTTACATAGTGGACCATTCTTGAAGTTCCCATTGTAAAATTGTTTGGCTATGCCAAAAATATAATGAAAATACAGTAGTAAGGTTGACAATGTAAACAAATCTTGCTTAGTATTGCTTGTGTATTTTGGTAGAGAGCTGGAGTCATTGCTCACATTGATTCTTCAGCAATATGTGGTGCCTGTGTTTCTTCTTATTAGAACATAATTAGTACTTCTGAATAGTATGGTAAACATTACCATCATGCTAGAAATACTTTTTTGTTTGGAAGTAATACCTGTTGTTATTAAAAGTAACATTTAAATAACGGAAAAGACCTGAAAAATTACAGAACTTTTAACTTGCCAGCTTTTGGCCATGTCTTCACTGATGTTAAATTTTCAGAATCTTATTGCTGCTTTAGGAGGCAATAAAATATACATTTGGGAAAAAATACAGGAACATGTTCTAATTATTAAGTACGACAAGATGAATTCCTGATAATAGACTTCTGCGTATTTTCTGGTGTTGTGCAGTTTTAAATAATCTCCAAATGACTAAAAAAATTTCAGATTTTAATTTCATTTGGCTTAATCAGTTACTTGTTAAATGGCACAAGAAAATGCTTGCTGGTTATGGAATTGCCGGGAGAATAATCAAAATCACCCTTTTGTACCTAATGCTAGCATAAATGCAAGCTATTACTGAAGTGAAACTGTTCTGCCTTTAAGTATCCTAGTTTGAGCATTGTGTAATCTAGATATGAGGTTGCTTGCCTATATGATATGTTTATAAATTTTGTTTGAGACCTTTGGAACGTCTGTAATGTGTCCTGAGATCACAGAATCATTAAGCCACATCATGCTCTTAGGTCTTTACTTGAAAGGGTTTTTCAAATGTTTGCATTTAGGATTCATTATAATTTTGGATAGTAGTATTATGTGTTGATTCCTCTGTGCTTCTTGGTGCAGAATTAAATATGTTTTGTGTATCTTGGTAAAACAATTATTAATTGTGCACTTCCATGTTAGAGTAAATTTCTCATGTGCTGTGTGTGATTCCCTCCTATCACTGTTCCTGTGTTACTTCAAAAGTAATGATCTTAACTATTATAGCCAAATGGAAGAGGTTCTCTTAGTAGGAGGCATGGAGAAATACAGAGCTGCTTGAGATTAATGAGCTCAACCAGTAGTAAATCAGTACAACATATATGCAAGTGATTAGGCAGATCTTTTTTAAACAAACAAGCAACTTGCTAGCAGTTATTCGCCACAAGTGTCTCTACCGCTGCCTTCTTTGCTTTAGAAAATGTCTCCAGCTACAGGTATTGAGGCGACAAAACGTTCTGTAGCTTTGTAACAAGCAGTATTATTGACCCTTCCTGAAAACAGTTGTTAACCATTTTGAAATGGATTGAAGGTGTTGCCTGAGGCATTCTTAATAAGGGAATTGTTTTAGTTTAGATGAATATACTACGGTCCCTGATATGAACTTAAAAGCAAAATTTTTGCAGTGAAGTGTGGCCATCTGCCAGTGTCCTGTGAGTGAATGGTGGGTTTGGTGTTTAAATAACATGTAACAGATGAGTCTAAGCACTGTCCTGGTTTTCCATCATTCTTTCCCATTTTGTGGCCCAAACCAAAACTAAAAAGTAGTTTCAATTTTGAGAGGTCTTTTTTCCACTGAGCAAAGTAATTTTATTAGTCTTACATTAAAGGAATAAATTGAAATTTATTTAAAGAAAAAACATTTATTTGTAGTAGAGGTTGCCTCCTTAGCCCTGGAAAAATCTGTTTGAAAGCTCTATTCCAAATTCTTTGGAGACTTGAGAGATTACAATGCTACTCCTCGCTTTTTGGAAGCAGCTCTTATTTCACTAGGCAATTATTTCTAGGAGGAATGTTTTCTTTAGTTTAGGTGGCATGGTGCTTCCTGTGCAGCTTCAGCCACATCAGTTGTGTTCACTTCCCAGTCACCAGCTCCTCCATGGGAGTCTGCATGCAATTTGGAATAGGAGAGCAGAGGGAGCTGGCAGAGTTTGTTACTGTAGCTGAGCAAATGCATCATTTAGAGGGAGCATTCTGTTCTGTATGGAACAAATAAAAACTTTTTCAGAAACTTTTTCAGGCTGAAGTGCCAACAATGTGTCTGGGCTTTACAGAACAAGTAAAGACAGTTCCTTTCCGGAGGTCATCTTTTTCTAAGGCAAACATGGAAACAATGGGCAAAAAGACCTCATGAGATGTCTCGTTGGTCGGTGTCTGCCTGTCCTTGTAGAAATTTGAGGAACTAGAGTGGGAATAAGGTTGGCCCAAAAGGGAGTGCTTCAGAAATTGTAGCCAAAACCTTGTATTAGGAATATGTGTGGCTGTTTGGGGGCGTGGCAGCATACTGGTGTGCTTGTATATTCAGCATGATTTTTCAACTGGGGAAAGGTGGGAGGAGAGATGGTTGTAAATGTGCCAGGTTTGATTGTCATGAAAACCAAGGAGCACGTGGCCAATTTGGTTTTTTTGTCTTGTCTGCACCCACATAAGAGCATTTTGATCATAGAAGAAGGTTTTGTCTGAATTTGTGAGGAAGAAGTGCGAAGGAGATTGGTTATGTCTACCCATGCATAATGTGTCTAAGCCTTTGAAATTTGGCTATGAAAAAATTTGTTGATCAACTGGAAGGCCTATTTTTGCTAATTAAAAAAAATAGTTTAAATTGGTGATAATCAAGTCTTTCAGGCCAGGTAAGCTGTCCACTTTCTTCCAGCGACAAGTAAATGTGGCACCCTGTGGCCCTGCACATCAGGGGAAATTTACACTACATGCAAAGAGTATGTCCAGTACTTTTTGGGGAATTTCAGGAATTCATTGTGTGTGTATGATAGTTCATTTGGCTGTAGATAGTTAAAATACACCATTTATTGCACAGTAATTTTGAGCGTAAAAGATCATGGTCAGACTGTTACCAGATTAATTCATGCAGCCTCCTCCCAAATGCCCTTCTTCCCCAGCGCTCCTCTGATTAGCCTCAAGCCTGACTACCCAACTTAAGTTCATTTAATGGCAGCAGCCTGTTTCTGGCCAACCTCCCTCCCCTGTGCTCCTCAACCTTTCTTCCTCTGCATCTGATGAAACCTGTGTGTCTCAGGTGATGGAGGAGCAACCCCTTCTGTGGGAAATGATGGTGTCTCCCAGGTAACTTGGGTTTTCAGGAGGTGCCTCCAGTGTGCCACTGCCCAGGCAAAGGTGGCAGGTGGATGGAGGTGGGAAGTGATGGGCTGATGGGGAGCAGTCTCTAGGCTGGATGTTTTCAGCTTGTGCAGCGGGGTGGTGGCCTATAGCCAGAAAACAGACATGCTGTCTGTTATTGTTTTGCTGCTATTTTTCATGTGCTATTTTAATATGAATATAAAGTACAGTATGTTTATAGATAAAAAGTAGTAGACTCCTAAAAAAAAAATAAATGAGGGAATAATGTGTTGTTTTTCATAAGGAAACAAACAAAATCCAAAGTAACTACATCTGTGTACATTTCAGCTTTTTATATGCCTTCCTCCAAAATATGGTGGTCAGTGACGACAGTTTCAAATTGCTGTGAATCATGCTGTGCCTCTAATAGAGTTAGATTTGTAAGGAAATTGAAAAATGGAGAACAGTAATTTATTGGGATATAGCATGGAAACATGGAAAGAGCGACTTTGAATCTTAATGTTTTCAATATGACCTCTAACTTGTACTCTGTGCTCGAGAGGGCTATTCAAGAACTTTTTGGAAGGCAGTACTTGCTAGAGCTGTCTAGGCTATTTGTCATAACTCTGCGTAGATGGCTGAGGTTTCATAAAAAGGACCAGATTTCCTAAATTATGTTAGTTTTTCAGGGGATCTGTGGTTTTAGGGCACTCGGTGTTCAATGAAAATTCTGGAAGGTCATGTCATAAACTTTGTATTTTCAGTGTGTTTTACTTGTGGTTCAGCTTTGCTAAGCCACCTAAATACTCTTCTTCCTGAGGAAGACAAACTACTGTCTGCATTTCTGGAGATGCACAAACCTGTAATTTACACTACAGACAAG